CGTTTAGCTAAGTGACAATCGTGTGAAGGTAGTTATACAATGGTTAATGTTCTACGGGCTCACCATAGCCCGTGCTGCTTGGAACTTTTTGTTCCAAGTAGCGAATCTTTAACAACAACGGTTAATGTTACACACACATGTATACATATATACATACATGTCTCATTGAATATGACAGCATATTCCGTATTTACTATTTTCTGATTTAGGGCTTCTATCCCTCTTACTCCTGCATCAGGGTTCACCTGGAAGAGTTCACCAAAAGTCATGTTGTTTTCAAGGTGAAGAAAAGAATTGAATAACTGAAGAATATATTAACTTGTTATAAAATCTCACGTTTCGAACCAACATGGTTCATTCTCAAGTGATAAGAAATTAGGTTGTTATAGATTCAGCTACTCGGAATAAGTTCCAAGTCGCCCGTAACTTACCTGGCACAGGAGCGGGGCAAGTAGCACGGGCTATGGTGAGCCCGTAGTGGACTTACCTGGCACAGGAGCAGGGCAAGTAGCACGGGCTATGGTGAGCCCGTAGTGGACTTACCTGGCATAGGAGCAGGGCAAGTAGCACGGGCTATGGTGAGCCCGTCGTGGACTTACATGGCACAGGAGCAGGGCAAGTAGCACGGGCTATGGTGAGCCCGTAGTGGACTTACCTGGCACAGGAGCGGGGCAAGTAGCACGGGCTATGGTGAGCCCGTAGTGGACTTACCTGGCACAGGAGCGGGGCAAGTAGCATGGGCTATGGTGAGCCCGTAGTGGACTTACCTGGCACAGGAGCGGGGCAAGTAGCATGGGCTATGGTGAGCCCGTAGTGGACTTACCTGGCACAGGAGCGGTGCTGTGTGAAGAATGTATTAACTTATAATAAAATAGCACAACGTTTCGAACCTACATGGTTCATTCTCAAGTGATAAGAAATTACAGATCTCGTTAGATTTCTACCAGTACAGGGTCAGGTGATCAAACAAGTAGAATAAAGTAGAACAAGTAGAATAAAATAAATATTCTCACCTGACCCTGTACTGGTATAAATCTAACGAGATCTGTAATTTCTTATCACTTGAGAATGAACCATGGAGGTTCGAAACGTTGTGCGATTTTATAATAAGTTAATACATTGTTCACACAGCATCGCTCATGTGCCAGGTAAGTCCACTTCGGGCTCACCATAGTCCGTGCTACTTGCCCCGCTCCAGTGCCAGGTAAGTCCACTTCGGGCTCACCATAGCCCGTGCTACTTGGAACTTGTTCAGAGTAGCTGAATCTATAACAACAACAAACATTCTTCAGTTATTCAATTCTTTTCTTCACCTTGAAAACAACATGACTTTTGGTGAACTCTTCCAGCTGAACCCTGATGCAAGAACATTAGTAAGAGGGCAACCCGTTCTCGCAAATTTAATAAGTCAATATTGACTTATTAAATCAACCCGTTCTCGCAAATTCGTAAAGTCAATATTGACTTATTAAATAAGTGCATAGGTGACATACTAAACATAATAGATACCCTTAAAAAGCTTCATAGAAAACACCGACCTTACCTAACCTTGTTAGTATCTTAAGATAAGCATCTTATAGCTTCGTAATTACAATTATTACTTAACCAATTTAAGAGGGATAGAAGCCCTAAATCAGAAAATAGTAAATACGGAATATGCTGTCATATTCAATGAGACATAAAAGAAAATCTGCTGCCAGTATACACCAATATATACATACATGTACACAAATACATATCAATAACCTTTTTATACTGTATCACAATTCAACTAGAGGCTCATTAGTCTCTCTACAAGGCAACCACCTAATCCTGCTCCACCCCCAGCCAATTGGGCGGCAGCTTTTCCGTCATATGCAAGAATTACCTACAGTAATGAGTTACATTCTTGCAAGAATACAAAAACTCATGTATATATAAATACAAAAATAAGCCAATTTATGAGACTTCACTAACATTCCCCTGGCAGCCTATCACGACTGTAAATGCATTCACGATATTTTATCTATTGGTTTGATATTTATCAAATGTTTATGTTATGTATGCTAAAAAAAAATTATTTTTTTTTGTTGGGATATTCCTGGGCCGCGGGCCCTAAGCCTCTGGTTGGCCCACTGTGTTACTTGATTCTTTTTCGATGCTTAACTAACCTTTAGAATTGACTTTGACCAAGGTAAGAGTTCCAAGTTGAGGACCCCATCCAAGCCGTCATTTAATCACTGTATTGTATGCTCATGTGTGTTTAATAAATGTATGTCTGTTGGACAACTGTCTGCTCGTGTTCCCGCGAGGGGCTCCAAGTGAGAGTATTAAAATAACTCTGAGGACTGGAGACTGAAACGAAACTAAGGGAAATCTGCAAGCGAGGAGTCACAATAACGTGGCTGAAGTATGTTGACCAGACCACACACTAGAAGGTGAAGGGACGACGACGTTCCGGTCCGTCCTGGACCATTCTCAAGTCGATTGTGAAATCGAATTAGGGAAATCTTGAAGGAGGAGACCCAGAGCTAAGAGAAGGGTAAGTCACTTTGTTGTCGTCGAAGGCGGCTAGTTTATTGTGCACCCCATACTCATCCTGTGAGCGGTAGCGCAAAAAGCATTACAGAGGGCACAAAAGGTCTTTATCAGACCTCAGTTTATAACATAAGCAAGTCACTAGTGCCTCAGTTCCTGGGTGTGAACACGGAGGAGTGTTTAAGACCCGCGTTCCCATCTTAGCGACGTTGAAGCCCCTTCTCTGCACTTTTGAACATGATTCCGGGTGATTTTAAGGAGAGTGGTCTGAGCTCGTATAGCGAATAAAGTATACCAATAATATACTCGCTCCTGCCATTAAGCTAATGAGAGCTTTGAGCGAGTATATTGTTCACATATTATTGGAACAATTTACTCTACACTCTATAGGTGTTTGGAATGGAAACTAATGAAGGTGTTTACTATAAATGGCGACTCTATCTACCTTCAACTCAACTTGTAGGGTCCCGGAAGTGCAGTTGGGTTCTCGTCGCACAATCAGGAATTTCGGGTTCGAATGCTTATCGGACAGTAAAGATTGGGCGCGTTTTATCTCACCTAATGGTCTTGTTCACCTAGCAAGTATCAATAGGGACTCGGCAGTTAGTCAGCTTCTTGTGGAAGCTGCAGCCTGGGAAGGGTCAGTAGTTCGACCTTGGGGACGAGCTCCATATGTGGCTAACATGTATATATACACAGGCTGCGTGTCCCCTCAAAACGAATGATTGTTATGCGTCCTAATTTTAATCTCATAAAATTTCATAGTTATGCCTTTACATTCGTGCTCTATCAAAGTTCGTCTAGACTAATGAAAACGTTCTTGTTTTGTTGGATATCTATGTCATTCCGAATTTAAATTGTAGAGCTCAGTACAGCTTCCCATTATCGGGAACAAGCTGGTTAGACTTACGGAACCCCTACCGCCTTACCATGGGCGAGATTGGCCACATGATTACCCGTCCAGTTACTGGATAGAGCCAACAGTGACACTTATCTAGTGAATATTTTTGTATTATTGTAGACCAAAATATTTGACCATCGCAGCCAGGGTCAGATTACCTTATAGGCCAAGTGGATCATAGCCTACCAGAGGGCGCATTTTTAAGTGACAGATGGTGTTTAGTGGGTCTTTCTAGCTCGTTTTGAGAGACTATACTCCCGACTAACTCTGTTCCCCACCCCGTGGCAGGGTCGAGCCCTTAGTGATGTCCACCTTATCCCGTGGATGAGGTGGATCTCTGAACTACGTTTTAACCATTACTAGGGGGTCCTTGGCGCCTTAACCTTCTGAAAACTCGTGGTTCCTCCCAAACTCACGTTAAGATTTGGATTGTCTTGTATCTAATGTTTACAAATTATTTTTCCTCGTCATCTAATCACACGTCCGTAGACACCCAGTTAAACCACCGGACCCCCGATTGGCACACGTAATTACAGCCTGGCATTATTAACCTATATTGCCGAGACCCCAAATCTGATTTAGAGGCCAGTTAAGTGCTAGGGGTTGGTACAGCGTCTCGCACCATATCGCGACGAGGAACTAAAAGACTGCCAAGATGTATTAAGGAGGTACATTCTAGCCTTTTACCTACCCACTCTGGCTCTTAAATGTTTTGACTACGTAGACAAAACCCATGGTGGGTTTAGTTCAGTTGCCAGAGGCTCCGTTTAGCAGTAGTGCAGCCACTCTTCTCTCCCTCAGTGAGGGCTGGAAATTTGATTGATTGATTGATGAAGATTAAGCCACCCAAAAGGTGGCACGGGCATGAATAGCCCGTAAGTGGTGGCCCTTTTAAGCCATTACCAGTATCAAGAGCTGATACTGGAGATCTGTGGAGGTGCGAATGCACCCTGCATGACGGGAGATGTCTCTCTTTTGAATGTGTTAAGATGAAGCCGCCCAAAAGGTGGCACAGGCATGAATAGCTCGTAAGTGGTGGCCCTTTTGAGCCATTACCAGTATCTATAGATGATACTGGAGATCTGTGGAGGTGCGAATGCACCCTGCGTGACGGGAGATGTCTCCCGGACCAAATGGTGACCAGATGGTGGCTGGAAATTTGGACACGTTCCCTATAAGTACACAAGCGAGGTGTCCGCGCCACCTTAAGAGTCTTAATTATAACTAATTAATAATTAGTTATAATTAATTATAACCCCCCCCCCCATCAGCTCGCTGCATCAATTAGGATGACCCTGTTTTCTTCCGTGCAGGCATATACTAAATTTGATGAAGCCATCATGTTTTGACATGGCGATGGAATATTCTCGCCCCTCTCCGTACATAGAGATTACGGTGTAATAAAGTTAACTGGTGGTAGTTCTTTAGTTAAGTAGCTTTTTGTAGTAAACTGTTGGCAAGTTTTTAAATCGTCTTGCCGAATGGTAGAGATTAAAGGCAGTGTAAGTTCAGTGATAGAGCATGTTCAGATTTGTCGAGTCATTACGTGGTTATACAAATTAAGAAGGTTAATTAAATATAATTTCATAATCATAATTTATTATAAGTTAATCTACTAAAACATTAAACAATGCGAAACAAGCAGGCGGCCAATCACTTCTTTGGGTTCTTCTTAGGGGCAGCGGAACCTGAAAGAAAAAAAAGTTCAGGAATTAGATTTTACCAAGTTTAGAATTATAACTTTCAAAACCATTTTAAAGTTTTTTTTCTGCTTTTTAAACAAGGCACATTGCCACACTTTGTAACTTTAATGTGTACCCCCACCCCCCCTTAACAAGCAATTTCACTTACTCTTGGCGCCACCTTTGGCAGCAGGGGCCTTCGGTTCTTTCGTTTTCTTCTCTGGTAAATTGGTGGCACCCTCCTAGAAGTAGAATTTAGATGCCGTAAGTTATATAGGAGGCAGCCTAACGCTACTGTTAAAGTAATTTAATGCCCCAAGCTAAGGATACTATGAAGTACTATCGTCAGAAAGTTACGGAAGTACCCGGTAGCAGTAGTTAAACTTTAAAGCCAAGTTTAAACTAAACAGGTTCTAGTTTTTCTTAAAGGAATACTAGTTAATTTTAAGTTTCCCTGTTAATCATGAGCTTTATGAAAGTTAAGCCATTATCTTTTAGATAACTGGTTCTTATCAGGGTAGACTAATTTCGTTATAGTTACAAAGTTACTTTAAAATTATGATTAAGACAACTATAGAGGAGTTGAAGTGTAGTAAAAGTAAAGTTTACCTTTGTACCCATGTCCTCGCTGTTTTTTCTGGAGGGCTGAGCAGGTTTCTTTCCACCTGTAAAGTGCCGTAAATATTTTAAAAATAAAAAATCTAGCTTTAAAACAGTCGCCTGAAAGTGATCGAGACTAAAAATAATTCACAAAACCTTAATAAAATACTTATAATCTCTAAGTTAAATTTATTTTACAATATAATATACAACTATTACTATAATAGTAAAGTTACTTGAAAGTTCTGAGCTTAATATACACAACAAAACCATAATTCTTACCACCACGAGCAGACATGTTGAGTTGTGGGTTATAGGAGTGTCAGGACCAGACTGACTCGACCATCCGGCCGTCCACCAGAGGTCAACTCTACATCAGGCTCCTGAAGCCTCATGAAAACAATACTGAACGAGCTCTTAATCATTCAATATCTTCCATTATCTTTTACAGAGTCTTCAGAATCGGCTAACAAAAACTTTATAATATAATATTTACTGTAATTCTGTCATTTTTATCAAGTAAGAAAGTATATTTATAATGTAAACACATAGAGTATTCACACCTGATATAAATGCCAACTACTACTCACGCCACAGTCTCTTATATGGTTCCAATCACCATTAGGACCCAACAAGCCATTACACGAGTGCTTACGAAACATCTACATCTTCTCTCACTCTCTGTCTACGTTGGTTAAACAGTTCATAAGTATCGAAACTTCCCAATCAACTGTTGTTATTGTTATAAACAGCCTCCTGGTGCTTCAGAGCTCATTAACTGTTTAATAATTGTAAACAAAGCCGCCAAAGATGGAGAGATTTCGTAAGTATTTTTGTAACTGCCTTACGGATCCGAGTCCGATTACCACTATAGACAACAATTTCTCTGTCATATAAATTACATATTGATACAAAAAAATTTAGAGTTTTATGGAGAATTTTTTTTTTAATTTGGTTTAATAATTATAAATGCAAACGTGATTATGCTCACAGGCGTTGTGTAAGAGGCATGAATACGAGTTTGTGAAAAGTATATCGTCTCACAGGAATATATATATATATATATATATATATATATATATATATATATATATATATATATATATATATATATATATATAGGCGTACCCATCTTTAGAATATATATATCTAAAGATGGATATATATCTCTATGTTTATCAGAGACCATGTCTATCCAAAGACTGAGGCCAGATGCCTAGGGCTAGCCTCGCACAAACGTGTAAGGATAACGGTCTAGCGGTATGGGACAGACATAGGATGATCGGTATAGGCCTAATGCAATTACTTTAAGAAATATAACTAGTAAACCAGCATCCCCCCCCCCCCATTGATTTTCCATGAATTAAGAGATGAAATAAGGGGCGAGTCTATTTGTTCCAAGGGGCAAGGGAGAGTGAGAGATGGGTCAGGTGACTGACTTTGTAGGATTGGTCATGCACTTTATTCTTTAATTTCGCCTTTGTCTTGACTTAATTTTGTATGTACTTGACCTCCTAGTGGTATAAATCACATGTTCCATTGCTGTCTTCTTTTACGGGCTATTCATGCCTGTGCTACCTCTTGGGTGGCTTAATCTTCATCAATCATATGTCTCCTATTTACGGGCTCACTATAGCCTGTGCTTCGTGGATATTTAATTCTGAGTAACTAAATCTAACAAAAACAACATCCTGTCTCTTCACTTGAGAATGAACCTCGTGGGCTCGAAACGTTGTGTAAATTATATTACATTTTTAAGTTCATTTCTATTAACAACACACTTAAACAAGACAATTATTGCGTAAACAACCGAGCCGTACAAGGCAGGTCTCATTGTAGCGATTGAAACATTTTTCAAGATCTTGAGTTCGAACCACGGCGAACTACGCAGCCCGTCCTCCAAACAAAGATCCAAAAGTGATTCCATGCACCCGCCAAACCCCCTGTTTATGAATGAAAAGCGGTTTACACACGACTCACAACTGCTGACGTTCGAACATATCCGGAACAAGTGCTTCACTGACGAATTTTGTTCGAACCACAACCCTATAAATGCTTCACCCACGTACTACAAATACAAATAAACGCCAACAGAACCTAAACACCTAACCTAACCTATGCCTATATATACACAATATGCTAATATATTATAATATTAATTTATACTTGAGAAAATTCCCGTTTTGAATGAACAGCATGTTAAAATTGATGAATGCGTCTGTGGGGTTGACCGCTGGATGGAATGGACTTGAGTCGAGGACGGGTTGAACTACGACACACAACAGCGATATCGCTGTAAGTGGAAGGTTGACCTATTTCCTCACAGTGACCTGTAATACCATAGGATGACCCTTGCCTCAGGTTCAAACCTAAGCGGTAAGACAAACCCTTATGTTCACAAATATAGTGTTTAAAGTTTCCCCTGAGGTATTTCCCACGTCTCGAACATTACACTTTTGGGCTCTCTGGCTTAAATAGTTTCCAGGAGTGTAGTTGTTAGAACAGACTAGCCTCTTTAGTTGTCGCAACGTAATGAAAATGATGTATTAAATTGTCCGAACCTAATTGAACAGTGGACCCCATAAATAGAAAACGGCGATACTGTTTATTTTTTTGAGCGGCTGTGTTTATTTATTTACTTATTTATTTATAAATATAAATTGTGTTAATATAAATAAATAATAAATATAAATTTATTTATAATAAATAAGTTATATAAATAAATTATATGAATAAATTTATTTATAAATAAATAAAAATTATATAAATAAATTATATAAATAAATTTATACAATATTTATAATATAAATTGTGCCTATGTTTTATACAACATTAAATTTTGACGTTGGAAGGTGGAGGCGCATTTTGACTTCAAAATGCAATATATTTATTCAAGAAAACATGAAATGAAAACTGATTTGTGAGTATATATATCTTAAAATATATCACAAAGTTCGTTTCTAAAGTAATAACAACTAACCAGTAGACAAATGCAGAAATTTTTACATACTGTTTAGAGGCTGTAACTAAGGGGTAACTATGCTAAAAGTTTCGCGCGCCATAATGACTGCCAAATCGTTCACAAACTACAGGTTGAACAACACTGAAGAAATCCCAGCCTTGCAATTTTTTTTTTTTTGAGATATATACAAGAGTTGTTACATTCTTGTACAGCCACTAGTACGCGTAGGGTTTCGGGCAAGTCCTTAATCCTATGGTCCCTGGAATACGATCCCCGCCGCGAAGAATCGTTTTTTCATCCAAGTACACATTTTACTGTTGCGTTAAACAGAGGCTGCAGTTAAGGAATTGCGCCCAGTAAATCCTCCCCGGCCAGGATACGAACCCATGACATAGCGCTCGCGGAACGCCAGGCGAGTGTCTTACCACTACACCACGGAGACTGCCAAAGAGGCAAATTGATGGGATGTTGTAGAGTTAAACCAGTTTTTGTGGGTTGAGCATCTTCGTTTCTCGCCGAAATGAGTCTCATGGGCGCTATCTCACTCGGAGATTTATGGGAGAGTTGGGTAAAAGTGGTGACACTACAGGAAGAATGGGAATTACAATTGAGGGGGGTGACTATCCTGTGATGTGATTGCGAGTTGCGTGAGGCTACCCGTAAGCCTTTGGCCTCCAATCTTACACAAACACACACACATACACATTCTCTTTAATAGATAAATGGAGTACCCGGACGTGCTTGGGTCTTTGTTTATCAAACTCCCTCTCATTCTCTCAGTCTCCCTCTATCTCTTCCATTTTCCCTCCATCCCATTCTTCTTTTTCTGCGTTTTCTCTTCCTGTTAAACCCTTTCGTTCTCTCTCCCAGTGGGCAAAACATGATCGAATATAGATGAATCTCCGTTAACAAGGTTGATTCAATCGTCAATCCTGCCCAGCTACTTAGGCTGGACGGTATAGCGATGGTCTCACTTCATGCAGGTCGGCGTTCAATCCCCCGAGACCGTCCACAAGGGGTTGGGCACCATTCCTTACCCCCCGTCCCATCCCAAATCCTTATCCTGACCCCTTCCAAGTACTATATAGTCGTAATAGCTTGGCGATACTCCTGATAGCTCCTTTCCCTTCAATAGTCAATCCAACGACCACCATTTAATGTGTACTATGGAGGATCAACCTCCCAAGTTGATCAGTATTTTGGTAATATTCAATTTTCGACGTGAAATAGGTGTGTGGGTCGCCCCACGTGTTATTGTTTAAGAAATATTGGCATCTTAATCTACCCCCACACTGCGATTTTGATGGTCTGAGAGAAGGGCGGGAACTATCAGGGGAAAAGCACCAAGCCATTACGACTCTATAACACTTGGAAAGGGTCAGGATAAGGATATGACAGGGGAGGGACAAGGAATGGTGCCCAACCACCGGTGGAGGGTCGGGGGATTGAACACCGACCTGCATGAAGCGAGACCGTCGCTCTACCATCCAACCCCAAGTGGTTGGGTGACGATATTTTGAAAGGAAAACATTAGAATTCAGAAAAACTTTATTCAGTTTCTGTAACCAAGATCCAGTGAACAAATATCACCTATAAGCAGCATTTACTGATATGCTGTATGATCTGGAACAGCATGAACTACTCAAACAAGCATAGTTCAAGCTACAAACTATAATTTAAGATGTACAAAACAACAGCAACAAAAATAATCTTCAAACAAACAATCGAGGAAGAAAACTGAGTAATAAGAAAACTGAATAATTTATAAAGAATAATTCATGGCTAACTTGCGTAAAAATTGAGTTTTAGGTAATTTAAACTTTTTAAATTAAGGAAATTTAAAGCAGGAACGTAAGTTTTTTCCTGGTTTAAAGTGTAGAGAACATTGTACCCTCGACTGCTTCCTATGGAACATTGTTCTTCCTCGAAGTATGAACAAATTAGCATAATTACTATGTTTAGGTAGTTGGATCATTATGCCTCGTTCACGCAAATAAATGAAGCTAATTTAAATTCTGAACGAGCGTTTTAACTGTTCTGATTTGTATAAAATTCAGATCATCTGAATTCTAAGGGTATTTGCCTTAAATGCGTATTTGATGGTGCTACATAGCCTTCCCGGTTTGGTGCCTTCTTTTGATAATTACTTACTTATTTGCCTTAAATGCATTTTAGTCTTTATATAAGTTCTAACTGTTTATGAACTACTTTTACTAACGTTGCTAATCGCATTATATTTCTTGAGATACACGTCCTTATTGCAATGTAATAAATGTTGGATTAAACCTTTTTAGTATTAGAGATTCTAAGGCATCCTTCCTCCTTGATTGCAGAGATATTCAGATATTTATTAATTATTTAAGTAGTTTAAGGATACACGCATATTGCATTTTTTGGGTTTTAATTATATTTTGAGTAATAATTTCGGGCCAACGCCCCTCATGGTGAATTTATGAGAGTTTAATAACATGAACCGAAATAGTAATTCTTCTCCAAGTTTTGGGTCATTTGCAAACGTATTTTTCTGACACTTTGGAAATTTAAAGTGTAGGAAAGTTATCCCTCGTAAATTTAAGGAATTTAGGAAGTGTAGGCAAGTTACCCCTCGTAGATTTAAGGTATTTAGGGAGTGTAGGCAAGTTATCCCTTCGTAGATTTAAGGAATTTAGGGAGTATAGACAAGTTACCCCTCGTAGATTTAAGGAATTTAGGGAGTATAGATAAGTTACCCCTTGTAGATTTAAGGAATTTAGGGAATGTGGGCAAGTTATCCCCTCGTAGATTTAAGGAATTTAGGGAGTGTAGGCAAGTTACCCCTCGTAGATTTAAGGCATTTAAGGAGTGTAGGCATTTTTTATTTCTGGAACATAGTCCTCGTTGTAACCAGTCACCACCGTAGCTCTGTAAAGTAGAGAACGATAGTTAAGAACATTGATCGTAGTGATTGTATATATTGGGATGCAAGGGTAATAGTTATACCTGATGAGTGTTGAAGTTATTACAGATTAATTATGTTAATACAAAAAAAAATTAACTGTGAGGGAAGATAAATAAAATTAATAAAAATGTAGGAACAGGTGTTATAATTTAAAATTCAGGTGTTGGAAGTTTTAAATACAAATTTATATTGGTATTTAATAAAGATAATAGCGAGTATAATAATCACGTCACAGTTATACTAATTACAATTAGAGATTAGAGCATGTATAAATAATCAATGTTTCATATTAGCATAATTATATTCAAGATGATATAATTAGGCCTAGCAATTATATCAATTGCTAGGCCTAACCAAACGTTAGTTTTGGTTAAGCCTATTGCTAGGCCTGACCAAAACTGGAACATGCAAAGCTTAATATTTTCAGCAATTCGTGTTGGGCTTGAAGCCTATTAACTTGTGGAGGATTGTTTAAAGTCACTATACAACCCGTTTTCTCCAGCTGCCTCACCGTCACAAAACTGACGTACTAATTTGCCCGAACCAAGGAATCGCGAATAGAAAACAGGACATAACGTCAATTTTGCGAGCCCCTTTGACTTTTAGGACACCGTAATTTGACGTTGAGGATCTTGACGATTTTAAATGATATATAAGCTTCTTAATCAAGTATATATTTCAGTATACAATGCGTGCACAGAGGAACAGGGTATACCATATGAATGATATAACACATATTCGAAGGCTATTTGAAATTTTTATACATTGAGTTAAATTTGATTGCAAAAATGTATGCTAGTGTTAGATAAACAATGACAGTTACTCATTAGTTTGTAATGAATAATTTGTTAATATATATTTAAGTATTTGTCAAATTTGATTTTGACTTATCTACTTATAATTTCTTTAAATAATTTAGGATGTTATTATACTTGGATTATATTATAGTTTTTTCTTGTTAAGTATCCCCTCACTGTACCCTATTATGCCCAGGTAATAAGGTATTAAGTGGGCCCCGGGGCATTATACTCACACGAAGGTGACGGATCCTAGCTCCGGGTCCCTCTGCCAGAGGACAGGCACGTTGAACTTGGCGGTTGAGTTAGTGTGGGTCACTGTGGGCTGGTCCTGTGGGTCACAGAGGTTGGTTAGTGGTGCGTGGTTGTGGTGGTGATGGTGGTGGTGAGAGATTGTGGTGGTGATGGGTGCTTAATCCTCTTACTTCAGACACTAATCTCGTTGAAAACGTTTTTTATTTTTTGGCTCATTTTTAACTTCAGGGCAAACTAATGTATATACAACATGTGTGGAATATATGATATAGCGCGGTGTGTATACCACACACACGTGGTATATACCCTGAGTTATACTGACAGTCAAGAAATATTCACCAAAATAAAGAATTATTGATCACACAAAACATGAGAGGTACAGTTACTTGAAGACCTTCAAGAAAACACACAAACTCGACCCCTGCAAAAGTCGCTTAAATTGACACAGGAGATCTTTGTATCCTTCCTATAGAGAGGATACGTGTATCTTGACCATCCATAATGTCTTACCTTACAGTTCAGGAGCTTGGAGGTTGTGTCCTCTGGAGTGAATTTGCCTGAAGGGTCGGTAGAGGCCATGATGAAGCCCTTAAATGGTACTTTGGCTGCGGAGAGTATGACTAAGGAGAGAGAGAGAGATTTTGATTATTTCATTCACTTGGGTTCTGGGAAACTCGAACCGGGGACCTGAAGCTCACACGAGGGTGGTTGGGGGGTTAGGTAATGTCGTAAACGTTTGGTAATATACCCGAGTCACTATAGTGGCCTTGGGGAGGACAGGAAGCCAGCAGTTTGTCGGAGGTCCTCCCATTAGTCTTTATGTTCCCTCAACCCGTTCTCGCACTTGCTTTTAGTCAATATTGGCTTATTTAATAAGTGCATATGTGACATACTAATTGATTGTGAGTATTTTAGTTTACCTTGAAAAGCTTCATAATAAACACCGACCTCACCTAACCTTCTTAGTATGTTAAGATAAGCATCTTATTGCTTTTTATTTACAATCATTACTTAACCTATCAACGGTATAGGTTAAGTAATAATTGTAATTAAGAAGCAATAAGATGATTATCTTAACATACTAAGAAGGTTAGGTGAGGTCGGTGTTCCCCATACATCCCTACCCTCGTGTGTGGGGGATGAATGCGGACCATTACCCACTACCACAACATTACCCGCTACCACAACACCCACTACCACAACAAACATACCTCTCAGCTGATTGGGTGCCAGCCGTTCCAGCTTTATGCTATAAGCACTGTTGTCAGCACTGGCATTGGAGTCATGCTGTGGGATCAAACCCGAGCAGGCAGACAATGGCGCGCCTCCGGGGTAGGCCAGGGTCATCGCCGCTATTGACCCGGTCACCACAATCACCGTCAACAACCTGTAGAAGGGGGAAAAGGAGGAACTAAAGGTGTGTACTTGTCAATCGAACCTCACGTATCTAGGACTATGGAGAAGCGAGATCCAGTTTATTTGTTCCCTCACCACCACCGTATTTATTAACCTCGTTGGCTTTAAAGTTACGGATGGAAGTGGCTTCCACACTTTCTTTACTGACTAGTAAAAAATTCTTTTAAAATAAATTAAGCACAAACTTAAATATTCCTAGGCGTAGTATAGCACACACATATTATACTATATTAGGCCTCAGATATCGTGTACTAGGCCTAGTAAGGTTAGGTTAGGTTAGTCTTTTGTAACGCAAGTAAAAAATAGTTCTTGTCTAACTCAATAGTTCAGATTTCTTCGTTCTAATTTCGTTGTATGTTTCTTGCACTTAATTCAGTTCCATTTATGTCCTCTTCTCCAGCTTTAATTTAGACCAATTAATGAGGGATAGCCTGGTCACTTTGTATGTTGTGATCATGTCCTCTCTCTGTTAATCTCTTGAACTTGCAGGATTGAGCATCTTCTCTGAAGCCCTGCCTTATGTTAATCATTAGTTCAATGTTATGACTGTTTTTCACTCTGTTTACTGAAGTTCTTTCTGGCATTCCTGTTGTGTTCTCTCGTTCTACTAGTCCTTATTTTGAACACTGCTTCTATATCTACTTTCTCAGTCCCCACTTTAGTATCTTGTACGTCGTTATCATGTCTACCCTGTTCCTTTTTTTCCTCCAGTGTAATAAGGTCCAGTCTCACAGTATTTCTTCATAACTCGGTCCCTTTAGCTCCGGAACTCTCCTTGCTACATACTTTTGGACTTTTTCTAATTTAGTTTTGTGTTTCTTAAGGTTGGGGTTCCATGGCGGTGCAGCATACTCTATAATACATCTCACGAAGGGTATCTTGAGATGATTTCGGAGCTTTAGTGTCCCCGCGGCCCGGTCCTCGACCAGGCCTCCACCCCCAGGAAGCAGCCCGTGACAGCTGACTAACTCCCAGGTGCCTATTTTACTGCTAGGTAACAGGGGCATAGGATGAAAGAAACTCTGCCCATTGTTTCTCGCCGGCGCCCGGGATCAAACCTGGGACCACAGGATCACAAGTCCAGCGTGCTGTCCGCTCGGCCGACCGGCTCCGAATATAGGATGGATGTGTGGATGTATATTGAGCTTGGAAGGAATCTTTATCCGGCTTCCTGTAGGATAACGGGACGTTTGCCAATATGGCGAGGCTAGGGGCCTCGTAGCCTGGTGGATAGCGCGCAGGACTCGTAATTCTGTGGCGCGGGTTCGATTCCCGCACGAGGCAGAAACAAATGGGCAAAAGTTTCTTTCACCCTGAATGCCCCTGTTACCTAGCAGTAAATAGACCTAACAGTCAGTGTCACGGGCTGCTTCCTGGGGTGGAGGCCTGGTTGAGGACTCACTAAGCCCCGAAATCATCTCAAGATAACCTCAAGATATGGCATCTGCTGCCCTCGTTATCCTGTTGTGTTTGTGGAGTTAGATATCAAGTTATCACTCCTGAGTCTCTCTCTTTTCTGCTGTATTTAAAGCGTTCTTCCTCCAACTGCTATCCTCATAACTTTGCATTTGTCAGGGTTAAAGTCTAGTAGCCGTTTCTCAGGACGTCTCTAGAGACTGCCTGGGTAAACTTGGAATGATTTGCAGTCCTCTTCAGTTCTAATTCGCCTAATTAGCTTAGCATCATTCAGCAAACGTGGATAAAAATGACCTTTCTTCCTCTGTTAGATTATTTGCGTATAGTGGAAACAGGATGGGCGTCTGGTTCCTACCCTTGAGGTACTCCACTCGTTACCACTCTTGTTATCTCTCCTCTTACTGTGTGACTCTGACTTCTTTCTGATAGGTACTCTTTCACCCTCTTTAGTACTTTTGCCCAAACTTAGGAGGACGGGCTGTGTGAAGAACTGTGTCAAAGGCTTTCTGCCAATTCTGGAAAATGCAGTCTGCCCAGCACCACTATATTCTATTTGATTAGGGGTCATCTTGCCATGAAACTAATAAGTTCGTCTAGCAAGATTTAATGAATCCATGTTGATGTTTGTAAACAAAATGTTCTGAGTATATATGGGGTACATTTGCCGCTTTCCAAATGTCAGGCAGTTCACCCTCTTTCCTTATAGGGTGGAGGGGGAAGGGAGGGAGTTTTCAGGGGGAAAGCGCCAAGCCATTACGACTATATAGCACTGGGAAGGGGTCAGGATAATGACTTGGGATGGGAAGGAGGGAAAGGAATGGTACGCAACCACGTGTGAACACTCGGGGGATTGAACGCCGACCTGCATGAATCTACACTATAGTGACGTCATATCAGGGTCTGTGGCTTTGATCACATCCGGCTTCTGTTTCCTTAATTCCTTATTGCGTAATTTCCATTCGCTAACCCCCATGACGGAACCTTTTTGGCTGACATTATGCACTGCTGTCAACATCCCAAATTTGCAACATCGGTTGGACGTCACGCTATCAACGTCCCCAAGCATGATTCTTGCATGATTGCTTCTGCAATCATGAGAAGCGGTGCAGGACTGAGCTCTTGTATCGTTAGATCTTGCATGCTTGCAACTCCCTCATCCGTAACGCACTCTATTGCTGCAACAGTGAATGCTATCTAGAGTTTGTGAGACCGACTAGAGACCTCTATATTTCTTGTAATGACTATATCTTATAGTGACTCTATATACCTTGTGGTGGCTCTATATTCCCTGTAAGTGACTTTATATACCTTGTAGTGGCTCTATATACCTTGTAGTGGCTCTATATACCTTGTAGTGGCTCTATATACCTTGTAGTGGCTCTATATACCTTGTAGTGGCTCTATATACCTTGTAGTGGCTCTATATACCTTGTAGTGGCTCTATATACCTTGTAGTGACCTCTATATACCTTGTAGTGACCTCTATATACCTTGTAGTGGCTCTATATACCTTGTAGTGGCTCTATATACCTTGTAGTGGCTCTATATACCTTGTAGTGGCTCTATATACCTTGTAGTGGCTCTATATACCTTGTAGTGACCTCTATATACCTTGTAGTGGCTCTATATACCTTGTAGTGGCTCTATATACCTTGTAGTGACCTCTATATACCTTGTAGTAACCTCTATATACCTTGTAGTGAGCTCTATATACCTTGTAGTGAGCTCTATATACCTTGTAGTGAGCTCTATATACCTTGTAGTGACTCTATATACCTTGTAGTGACTATATATGCCTTGTAGTGGCTCTATATACCTTGTAGTGACCTCTATATGCCTTGTAATGACTTTATATGCCTTGTGAGTGACTTGTTAACTGCCCTGGGTTCTCATTGGGTATACACAGGGAGTATACCTTAGTCCTGGATTAAGTATACTAAAGTATAATTGCTGGTTGGTCAGTGAACTGTTGTGGTTGACTTAACAACCATTCAGCGGTGCATATAGGCCTTGAACCTAACAGCAAGTTAAGCAGTTATAGTACAAGACCATTGGTCCCAAACAAGACCATTGGTCCCACACAAGGCCATTGGTCCCCCACAGGGCCATTGGTCCCACACAGAAATTAAAATATTTACTAAAAATATAATTCGCGATATATTTTCTTTGTTTTATGCGACACGAAATGTTATTTTGAACAAAATATCACTTGAGAAGTTTGTTCCCAAAAGTTTCACTTCAACTCACACGTTTTAACTCTGTTTCTGAAGAAAACTTGTCATTTTGACTTACCAAGACATTGTGCAACACGCCTCCAAGGATATTCAGCTCGCGGCAAAAGTTACCGGACAACTAAGCTGGAAACCCTCCGTGCGCGGCCTTATATAACCTCTCCTCCCCGCCCGCCCGTCATGGTTGCCATATGTTCCCGTTTGATTTATCGCTTTGTTTACAACATTGTTCCAAACCTTTTTAACACATCCTAAACCTTTTGTAGGGAACGGAAATGTGTGTTTTTCTTTTCTTGATGGGTTCGAGGCTCTAGGAGACTCGAACTATGGACCCGCACGTGTATGTGAGAGGCTCTATCAACCGTGCTATTAAATAGATACCTGGGAGTTAGACAGCTGCTACAGAGCTGCTTTCTGGGGATATGTGTGTGGGGGGGAGGGGAGAGATGATTGACAGTTAAGAGGCGGGACCAAAGAGCCAGAACTCAACCCCCACAAGCACAATTAGGTGAATACACACACTAACGCAACTGTAAACATTAAATAAAAACTTGAGCTTATATGGACAAATGGGATATATAAAAATATATATAAATATATATATAAATATATACATGTATAAATATACATTTATATATTACATATATTCATACAATGAGGAAAATTACCTCAGTGTCGAACTTCAAATTTAATATTTTTATTTAATATTTTATTTTTATATATTATCTTGCGTTTGTGTAAACTGTTGGATACATATAACGCTGTATCCGGCTTTCACTGGATACATAAACCTGTATCCACCTTTCACTGGATACATAAACCTGTATCCACCTCCCTCACTGGATACATAACCTGTATCCAGCCCCCTCACTGGATACATAAACCTGTATCCACCTCTCACTGGATACATAACCTGTATCCAGCTCTCACTGGATACATAACCTGTATCCAGCACTCCTCCAAAGGTCACAATTACTAATCCAATACAAAGGTTCATGTTCCTTAAACCGGTTTATTCTGAACGGCTCGGTCTTGTGAAATCTGGTGAGGACGACACTAGCGGAATGTTATAGACAGTGTTCTGTCTATATTATTGACAGAATCATCTGTCGTTGGTCATTGGTGGCGGGAAAATAGGACGAAGTGTAGTGAAAATGTAGTGTATATGATTGAGAAAATTGTCGGGTTGGCAGCAGTGGTGTTCTTGGAAGCTGGTCTGTAAGACGGTCGTCTCTCTGTCTCTCTCTGTCTGTTTCTCTGTTTCTCTGTTTCTCTATCTCTCTCTCTCTCTGTTTCTCTGTCTCTCTATCTCTCTCTCTCTGTTTCTCTGTCTCTCCGTCTCTGTCTGTCTCTCTCTCTGTCTCACTCTCTCTCTCTCTCTGTCTCTCTCTGTCTCTCTCTCTCTCTCTCTCTCTCTCTCTCTCTCTCTCTCTCTCTCTCTCTCTCTCTCTCTCTCTCTCTCTCTCTCTCTCTCTCTGTCTCTCTCTCTGTCTCTCTTTCTCTTTTTCTCTCTCTGTCTCTCTCTCTCTGTCTTTCTCTTTTTCTCTCTCTGTCTATCTCTCTCTCTCTCTCTCTCTCTCTCTCTCTCTCTCTCTCTGTCTCTGTCTCTCTTTCTCTTTTTCTATCTCTGTCTCTCTCTCTCTCTCTCTATCTCTGTCTCTCTCTCTCTCTCTCTCTCTCTCTCTCTCTCTCTCTCTCTCTCTCTCTCTCTCTCTCTCTCTCTCTCTCTCTCTCTCTCTCTCAATAGGTCATATTAAGTACATTACGATCCCTCAAACTTATCAAAGAAAAACAAAAGCAGTAACCCCTCAAAAATCCACGTTTTCTATCATCGGTAAAATAAGGTTAGGTTGGGGGGGGCTTCGAAGGTCTCTGGATAGGTTATAGGACTCTATACGTCATTGGCCGGATCCGGTAGAGCTATATAGAGCCTCCAGCTGCTGTTATACCGCTGTGTGAAGCTCTTTCCGCTTTCTTCTATCACTCTGGCCTGCCTCCTAGCCTCTGTTCTCTATCCTAGCAGCTAGGGTCGTGAAGATACAGCAAAAAGGTGTCTCAACTTCCCATATATCTTATACTCAAGCGCCACAATATACCTATAACTTTACGGTGCCGAAATATATATCCAAAGTCATGCCAATTTAACCTCTTCGGGGAACTTTAGAAGTCAAGTTCAGGTCAATTTTGAACATAGGGGTCGTTAGGCGAATAGTTCGCGACCCTTGTATCCAGCACCGGTTGTTCTGAAGATGGTGAGAAGCGCCAAGCTATTATAAACGTTTAAGAGGCTAGAGTAGCTGCTAATTTGCTGCCTGTGTAATGTATATAGGACCCGTTAAACAGCCCTGGAATGGCAGCTAGTACACAGGTTACGTTTTAAAAGATGTGAGATGAGTTTAATCTCGCTATGGAGATGTTTGAGTGCAAATTACAAGCTAACGGTTAGCATTGTAGCAGCAACAGGGCGTTGAGTGAGTTTTTGTTAAGTCTCCCCTGTTTGGCGGGTGAGTGTGCCCCGGGGCGAGCATAATTACGCTCCCCTTCACACGCATGCGCACAGCTTTTCCGCGTTTAACATTTTCTCTAAAAAATGTGAGAGTAAATTAAATTCAAACGAAAATGTGGTTATGAATTTAAAACTATCGTCGTTGATCTAACTAGAGGTCTTGACCATTTGCCTAAGACCATCGTGCTCTTCGCGTGACCTTGTCATGCGTGGTGTAAAATCATTATCTTGCACTGCTACTACCGCCGGGATAGTCACCAACAGCGCCGTGATGAGTTTTCAGTGTACCCATTTATAGTTATTGATTATATTACTCGAAAAAAATGATCATATTATTGCTCGAGTGAACTAGTTCACCTTGAACACCCAGGAGAGGCCTGAGGCTCCTAGGACACTCCTAGGACATGCTCTTAGGAGGCTAAGCCACACTAATTGATGGGATATGAGGGCGCAGGGAGGAGTAGCGGAACTTAGCACATTTCATTTGGTTCTTGACTCACAATCTGGAATCCCGGGTTCGATTCGCGGGCGGGACAGAGGTGGGGTTGGCTCGTTTCCTTTTCACCCTAATGGTTCTGTTCACCAAGTAGTAAATAGGTACCTGGGAGTTAGACAGCTGCTACGGGCTGCTTCCTGGTGTGTGTACTCACCTAGTTGTGCTTGCGGGGGTTGAGCTCTGGGTCTTTGGTCCCGCCTCTCAACCGTCAATCAACTGGTGTACAGATTCCTGAGCCTATTGGGCTCTATCATATCTACACTTGAAACTGTGTATGGAGTCAGCCTCCACCACATCACTTCCTAATGCATGTGCGTGTGTGTGTGTGTGTGTGTGTGTGTGTGTGTGTGTGTGTGTGTGTGTGTGTGTGTGTGTGTGTGTGTGTACTCACCTATTTGTGCTTGCAGGATCGAGCATTGACTCTTGTATCCCGCCTTTCCAGCTATCGGTTGCTTACAGCAATGACTCCTGTCCCATTTCCCTATCATACCTAGTTTTAAAAGTATGTGTGTGTGTGTGTGTGTGTGTGTGTGTGTGTGTGTGTGTGTGTGTGTGTGTGTGTGTGTGTGTGTGTGTACTCACCTATATGTACTCACATATATGTGCTTGCAGGATCGAGCATTGACTCTTGGATCCCGCCTTTCTAGCTATCGGTTGTTTACAGCAATGACTCCTGTATGTGTGTATGTGTGTGTGTGTGTGTGTGTGTGTGTGTGCAAATTAGGATTCAGGCCTTGTCCGAAACGCTATGCACGCTGTTGGCTGAACAAGAATGCAAGAACTCTTGTATATATGAATACAAATGAATACAAATGAATACTGGGAAAGGGAAGGGTCACCAGCAACAAAGCCAGGACTCAGGGTCATGTGGGGTCGGTTGGGTATCAGAGCTGATTCACCGATTCGTCTGAGAGGAGCAGAAGCAGGAAAAATTATTTTTGAAAACCAATCAATAAAATGATTATTTCTATAACACAATCACAAATCGTTTAACAACCAGGTAGCCAATCACTGCTGGGTGAACAGAGGCGTATAGGTAAGGATTGGTGCCCAGTCAATCCTCCCCCGGCCAGGATACGAACCCAGGTAAAATCGCTCGGGAAGCGTAAGGCGAGTGTCTTACCACTATGCCACGGGATAATTACAACACACACACACACACACACACACACACACACACACACACACACACACACACACACACACACACACACACACACACACACATACACACACACACAGATGTGGTGGAGGCTGACTCCATACACAGTTTCAAGTGTAGATATGATAGAGCCCAATAGGCTCAGGAACCTGTACACCAGTTGATTAACTGGTGTTGAGAGGCGGGACCAAAGAGCCAGAGCTCAACCCCCGCAAATCCTGATCTGTAGCTCTTCCTAGATGAATGTAACACCAGCCTGTCTTCCTAAGGTTTTCCAAACGTCCAGAAAACAATTTAAAGTAGTCTCTCCTAACCTTCCAGAGGACCCAAAACAGAAAACGGGACAGTACGTCACTTTCGCTAGCCGCTTCCATTTTCTAATACGACAAATTTTCGCCCGTATGTAACGCCTACGATAAAAATGCGACGTTGTTCGTAAGGTGACAGGTTGTAGCCCGTAATATAACACATGAATGTTCTATTAGGCAGGTTTGACCCAGAGCCGCCTATGAACATCCCCAGCCAAAGACCAGTCACCCTGCAAAGTCTGATAATGCTAGCCCTAGATATCGCGCCCTCTCACAGAAATAAATCCACAAATGAAACAAACAAATTCACAAAATTCAGCTTGAGGACCTCCAGAGACCTTACCCAACAGGGAAGACATTTCTGTTTACAAACCTGTGAAAGACCTTAAGTTATATCAACAACAGTCAACAGAGAGAACTAGAAACGATAGTCAGACAGAACAAGCAACTGGACCACCTTGACGTGACCTCTGAGGAAGTATAACTCCTCCCACTCCCCCTTGGGCATGTTGGGGGTATGTGGGTATGTGGGACGGGGGGGGTATAGACGCCGTCATGGGCACGAAGGCCGTGAGGTACTCAGAAATACTGGAGACAGATGGATAGAAAGAGAAAAGTAGAACAGACAAAACGCAAGGAAGAGAGTCAATGGACAGGTAACGGACAGGAAAACACGTGAA